TGTGATACGAAACTGAAGTGAGGAGAAAATAATTTACACTGGATAGAGTATTCAAAGCAATTACAAAATAGCTTTACTTCCTTGCTATGTGCTCCTTTTATCCAAACTTTTGAATCAAAAATTCCAATGGCAATTAAAGTATGATCTTAATGACATAAATAAGGAAGAGTTACTCACTGCGAGAGAAATACTTCAGAGTTTTATTTCTGTTACTGCTTCGGAAGATGAAATTGAGAGGTAGAAGGACAGTCTCTTTGAACTTTTACAATTCTAAAATATAGTCTCCAAAACAAAATTCCAAATATTGTAATTTTATTTCGAAGTTTTGTCATAACTGCTCTAAGTATCAATTGCTGTGAGAGAAGATTTTCTAGATACAATTCCATTACAAAGCTGAGACACAATAATGAGTATATTATAATTAAATATTGTATTATCTAGGAAAAAACAATGGGGGGAGGGAAGAAAAATCTGAAGGGTTTCAGATTTTAAATTACGTCCAAACAAGCTTTTTTTTTTTTTTTTTTTTTTTTTTTAAACTTTTTGTGTGCTACATTCATTAAGTATCATGTTCTTCGCACTTAAACCATAAATTCAGTTCAACAGCAATATCGCAAAATAATTTTAAATTGAGCATATGTTTAGACTTTCCAACACATAGTCTCATGCGCTAGAGATAATAAAAATGTTTTTTCTGTACAACGTTGCCATGGCTCACTTTGAAATCCTTGAATTTGTTAATTAAAAATTCGTTAACGTTTCATAATATATGATATCGGTAATAAAACAAATTCCGAATTTCAAATTTGGGCTTCCAGATTCCCATATTCGCAGCAGGATTACGTCATTCAAAATTGGATGGCTCTAGGTACTGTTGTTTTATCGTTATGCGAAAAACATACATACATTTATGCAGATTCTTCAGTATTTAATTTCTTCAAATATAATACAGGGCAATAATATTTTCTGGCAACAGTTTGAAAAGTGAAAAGAACATTCAGAGTGATTCGACGCAAAATCGCAAAACGAAAACAATAGTCTCTCAGGGACAAATGAAAGACTAATAATGAAACAAATCTTCTATTATATCATCGACGACTTCTTTAACAACAACAGAAAAAAAAAATAAAAGCACTTTAAAACACTTAAATTAAGTTTTATTTCAAAAATTAACTCAAAATTTTTATTTGCTACTCTATATGCTCTTTTTGAGATTTTATAGGTTTAATTGTTTGGTTTAATTTTATAGGTTTAATTGTTTTTTGTTTAATTGTTTTATAGGTTTAATTGGGTGGTTGAAAGGGCGGCAAAAACTCTAGCTATGCTAATGAGGGAAAATCCAGCAATTTGGCATTCACAACCGATAGTCTTTTGCACCAACATGGCGCTGATAGCATTTCGTTCGGTAATATACAGAAAGACTCAGCAGATGCTTCGCGTTCTTTTTACCATTTACAGCTAGCCTCTGGATGTTTTCAGAAAACGAAATTATTGAATGGATTGAAAGATATATCTAAAATAAACCAGTTGTTTACGAATACTGAAATATTAGTTATTATGCCATAGGAGCCTCCATCATAGAAGAATTAACTGACGACGTTATAATTAATTCAAAGTATATTGATCCTGTTAGGTAACAAAAACAAGAAATGAAGATGATGGGGATTCAACTAAAATCGTTTGGTATGAGGCTGGGAGGGCGTTAAATACATTTGTGAAACTCGCCAAAAAGCTAAAAAATATGACACAGGAGAAATAATGAGCATTCATATTCTAGAGAAGAATGAATTTATAGAAGTGGAATCTTTGAAATAAATAGGCATTCGAACTTTAATCGGAAACTGTTCATGTACTGGCAGTACTGAAGATTTCACAGCAAAAATTGATCCGATGTAATTAAACTATGAGTAAATTTATTTATTTAAACGTTTTTCTCTTTCAGTATTATTGCAAAAATACTACAGGAATTTTTGGTTCATTTCTCAACAGATTCTCAAAGAAATATCTTTTGTGGTATTATGCAATTTTAGTCCGATAATCTGGCATCCCAAGCGTGCCAGATTATCGGATTTTTGCTGTAGGGTTATCGGATTCGTAGACAGATAACATCACAAAAACTAACAGCTATAGGGTCGATTTTTTTAAATTAGGGAATAAATAACCTTATTTCTTTAATTAATGCACCTGGATGTGTGGGATCGAGACATGACAAAAGTTTCTCAAAGAAAAGTAGCGAATTTTTAGCTCAAAGGGGCAATTTGCCCAAAAGGACTACTAATTTCGTTTCGGCATTTTACGTCATCCAGTATAAAATGGGGTTTCACTTTTCAAAGTGCTGCCACTAAATATTACAACCCTGCATAACATTTAAAGAAATTAAATAATGAAGAATCGTCATGAATGTATGTATGTTTCGCTCATTGTGAAAAATCAATGAGTACCTAGATACATCAAATTTTGAATAACGTAGTCCTTCATTCGAATATGGGCATCTGGAAGCCCAAGTTTGGAATTTATTTTAATTATATATTTCATATTTTGTCAAAATTTTAATGGATTTTTGATTAACAAATCTCAGTACAGTTTCAAAGCGAGCAATGGCAACACTGTACGGCCAAAAAAATAATCTCCAGCTATCCAGCGCGCGAGACTGTGTATCGGAAATTCTGAAGGTATTATGTTTTCAAATATTTTGTAATATTGCTGTTGAACTGAATTTTATGGTTTAAGTGCGAAGAATAAATAAAGGTAACACACGAAATCTTAAATAAACGCCTCTTTGAGGGTAATATAAAATCTGAAAGCTCGGATTTTTATGGAAATAGTTTCAATTCTGAGGAGGAAAGGGTTTTATAAAACCAAAATTAATTTTTTATATGATCCTGTAAAAAGCACACACACACACATTAAAAAAAACCCACACAATAGAATTAATTGACATATGTCACACTTCAAATCAAAACATTTTTTCAACAGATTTCAGGAGACATTGTGAACACTATTTGCTCATTTTTGAGATTAATGATTGCGTGTTGGACAAAAGAGCATTTATTATTTACCCTGCTGTTTAGTCCGTAAAACTATTACTGGCAACTAACTCCGCGAATTTTAAGCCCAAATATATGGAAGCTTTTGTATTTAAATTAGGAGAACACAATGATAAAAATTTATTAATTCGACATTTAGGCCTATAAAATAGAGAGAAATCTCTAACTCAGAGTGGCAAAACTATTTTCGTAAAATTCTGTGCTTTATTTTGAAAAACTTTACCGTCCAGACGGGAGAGTGATTAGTGACTGCGACTGCTGTACCAAAGGGCCGTGTTCGAATCTCGAAGAAGGCACGGAGTAAAATTGTCTGTCCCCTCAAAGGAGGTAACGATGGTCACCTATTAAGGCACCTCCATAATAAAATTAACACCGCTTTTGTTCTTTGTAGTGTCTAAAGCTTAAAATGGGTAGTATCTGCCATTAAAAAAATGAAAAACTTTATAATTAAAAGTACTGCGTCATAGTATGGATGATATATCAACGTTCATCAGTCTTAATATATTATTGTAAATTTAGGCAAATATTTGCTTTTATTCGCCGAAAGATGCATTTTTCCCAGAAGGGTTATAAATTTCGTTTTAGCATTTTGCGTCGGTTCACTTTTCAAATTGTTGCCATCAAATATAAGAATCCTGCCATATATTTAAAGAAATTAAATAATGAAGAATCTGCATAAGTGTATGTATGTTTCTGGCATTGCTATAAAACAACGATACCTAGAGCCATCAAATTTTGAATAACTTAATCTTCCACGGAATATGGGCATCTGGAAGCCCAAATTTGGATTTTTTTTATATCGATTTCAAATTTTGTAAAGCATTTTGAGATTTTGATTAAGAAACTCAACGATTTCAAAGAAAGCAATGGTAACACTGTACGAAAAAGAAATCATTTTTATCTCCAGGGCGCGAGGCTGTGTATCAAGATATGCTCATTTTAAAATTAATTTGCGATATTGCTGTTGAACTGAATTTTATAGTTTGAGTACGTAGAACATGATATTTAGTAAATAAAAGTAACACACAAAACGTTAAAAAAAACACCCCTTTGGACGTAATTTAAAATCTGAAACCTTTCAGATTGTTTTCTTACTTTACCTTTTTTATCACAGCTGCTTTCAGATCATGCAATTGATCAGCGTACAGTTTGAGTCTTAGATAACACTTCATGAAGAAATCCGTCTCCTTAGGCTGCTTAAATGAGTTAATTTAACGCATAAAAAATATGCTTTGATCAGACTGAGGACATAAAGACGTAAAATGAAGCGCAGATCCACAGAAATAAAGTGGAGAAATAACATTTAAGTACTTTAATATTTTTGTTTGTTATCTTTTGCATCTTGCTGCTGGCTATTTTTATTCTTCAAATTTTAAATATCTTTTAATAATTTTGTTGACATCCCATTTTACCATCCTCGAAAAAGAAGAAAAGGTCGCCTGCTGGGGGTATGACTTTTGTAACTAATTAGATACATCCCCAGTGAGAAAATTTGAATCTCTCTCTTTTTCTCCAACTGAGTTTAATTCCGGGCTCTTTTTAAAATTTACAAGCTGTTATTATTTTATGTTTGGCTTAGAATAATAAGAAAGGATAGAATACTGACTATGCTGACCTTCATTTACATTTGTGCAACCACTATAGCCTAGAACTATGACGCTACGTGAGAAAAAATCGGGTCAAAATAAGGTCCCTTTGTGCAAGCAGTAACTTCAGGGCTGTGAAATGATTGAAATGACTGACGCTTACAAAAACTGGTTGACGACTTGACATGAGACGGAAAATGAAATTTGATGGTAGATGAATTGAACTTAGACATTTAAAGAAGAAAAACTCTCTCATGAATTTTTTTTTTCTTTCTTTTTCCGTAAGAAAGCATTTTGGCTGTTTGAAGGTCGTCATGTTAGTCAGATGAGGCTGGCATGAACCATATCATATTGGTCAAAGATTGAATGCTGATGCTAGTCTTAATTTCGAAGCACTGTTCGAACCTTGCGTGTTATAGCGAGAAAACGAAAGTAATTTTATCTTAAAGAGCAAAACAGTAAGACTAATCTTAGCGAAACTAATTATCTTTGGATATATGAAACAATTACCTCTTTGGAATTTAATAATTTCATTTACTTGCCGTACTGGAATAAGTTACATTTGTTATTTTGGGCCTGTAAAAGTTGCGGCTCATCATTCTTACTGAATTTCTGTTTAACATATGGATTCATTTCTTCTAATACCCAAAGCTGAGTTTTTTGGTTCGTGCTTTCTTTTCCTGATTTAACTGGCATTCAAGTGGAATTTTAAAGCTCTAGACATTTACTGAATTTAATAGTTTATTTTTAGTTTCCAATGCAGTTCTTGCCTTCCTCAATAGATTTGTAGTATCACTAAATTCATGTCCATTTTGCCGAGCTCCGCTGTTAGTTTATTTTAATCTAATGCGTGTGCTCCTTAATCCACACTGGATTTCTGGCTTTTAAATTAGTTTCTAACTGCTATTTGACAGAGGAAAAATTACCATGGGTTGCTGTGCAGATGTGATTGATGCAATAAAAATTATTTTCTGGGTGCTTTGCGATCCATTTATCAGACTCTGCCGGTGTCTTTTCCCAAGAAGAAGGAAGAACATAAAAGGGGAAATTGTTCTCATTACAGGAGCTGGACATGGACTAGGAAGAGAACTGGCGTTGCTACTGGCTGAAATGGAACCCGTTCTTGTGCTGTGGGATATTAATCAAGTAAGAAATATATTTACTTCTGTAATATAAATTTTAAAATTTGACTGAATATTATTGAAATCTCTGTTTAAACACACAGTTATTTTGCATGCATGGTTAATTAGTCATTAACTTCAATTAGTTTTCTTTAAATGGTATTTTAAAATTAACCTTCCGTAATTCCTTAAATAATTATTTTAATTTAATCGTCCACCACCTTTTAGTTCGGGCACACTTGCAGAGTCTTTTAGAATTTTTCGATGTTAGGAAACTGAAAATATCCTCATCGCTCTCGCCGGGATTAGAACACTGGATCTCCCATTTGCCAGCCAGACGTGATATCCAAAAGACACGCAGAATGGAAGAAGAAAACACCTTATATGCTTCCCCTTTTAAAGGGAGATTGGAGATGAGGAGATCCAGTCGCCCAATCCTAGTGGTAACGAATTATGGTTTACAACTTTTGAATTCGGGTGCCACTTATAGAATCCTTAGGTCTATCGATGCTAGGAAACTAAAGTATTTCGCAGTGCCCTCGCCAAGATTCGAAATCTGGGCTTCCCGATTTCGAGATGGACGTGTTACCTGTTACACCACGAAGGCATGCGGAAGGGAGGGAGAAAACACACCTTACAAGTAAACTGAGCACTTTTTCTTTTGTTTTCCGGCTCAATGAACTGCAATTTTTTTGTCAGTACTTACGAAATGATTTTAAAGAAAGTTTGAAATTTATTTTGGAAATGTGGTATTGGAAATTAAACTTAAAGTATCATATAACTGATCATTAACCATAAAAAAATGTCTGACGAATTATAGTCCCGTCCGATTTCTTAACTAGACATATCGCAACAAAATTTAAATCCAAAATAAAATATTAATTAACTCACCGACTTAATGGTTGCACGGATTGAACTTTCGATGTCTTGCGGTGCAATAATAAGTTTCACAACTCAACCTTTCAAACTAATAAATCTTATTCAAATCTAATTAAGGCCTGTCTTAAATCTCGGCTGTCCTTTATAACTTTGCTCATAGAATAAAAGCAAACAATCTTTGCCAGCAACACTATGCAAACAGCAGAACCGCAAGGTACTAAGAATGAACAGTTAGTCTCAGGTGTTAATCGCTCGCAGTAAGCTTTGAAACTGGATTTTCAGTTACAACTTAAAATAATTTGCATTCTAGTGACGAAAAGTTGAAGCATAGAACAGAAAACTTTTTAAATAATAGGTTAATTAAAATATAAGCCTCAATTTCTTAATATAATTTGTATTTCTAAAGTAATGTGACCTGATTGAACATAGAGAAACTGTTGTATTAGATTTTTAACTTTTTATTTTATGTTTTAAAATCTTAAGTGCATGATATTTAAAAATGAAAACATAACGTCTTTGAATCTTATTTTAGTTAAACTATTCAGATCAACTAATCACATAATATTTTTTGCCGTTGGAATTTCCGAATGCCCCCCCCCTAAAACAGGTTCTGTTAACGCTCATTTTCACGTTCAAATGAAATCATGCCATCTAATCAGAACTACATAAGTTTATGTAGAATCTTCCTAACTTTTATATTGACTGAGATTTGAAATTCTTTGATTTTAATGAAGTTGCCGCATTTCTTATCAATAGAGCAGCTTTCCCCAATAATGTAAGCTACAACTTCTGTTATTATTAAAGACATTTTTATGTATTGGGCTGAAACATAAGTAATGGCCTTTTCTTAACTGAAAATTTTATTTTAACAAAACAAAAAACAATAAATTGGTCAATAATATCCAAGTTTTTGGACTTTCCCCATAGACCCAAGATGTCGACTATAACCATTTGGCTACAACCCATTAAAATGGCTAATTCTCGAGTAGTTTGACGCGCGTCTTCGTACAGAAGTTGCTTTAAAACGCTCTTCTTCATCAAACTCATTTGGTCGTCCGAAACGAGCAGCGTCTTCAAGGTCGAAATGTCCACATTTGAATTCGGCAAACCAATTTCTTGCCGTTCGTTCAAGCATTGCACCTTCTCCATACACTTCACGAATCTCCCGGGAAACTGCTGCGGCATTGACACCTCGATTAAACACAAAAAGAAGAAGATGTCGAAAAGGCTTTTTTTCGTCGAGTTGACACTCCATTTTAACGATGTGAAAAATAAAACACATTAGCACAGTCAAAAGAAAATCAAATACGCCATCTTGTAGAGGGAAAGATTCTCTTTCGAATAACACACAAAACATTATGCCAATGCATTTTATTTTTACCGCGTAATTTTAAAGACAACATAAACGGTCATTACTTATGTTTCAACCCAACATATTTATTTGATAGTTAAATATACAGGGTGCGGCAGCGAAACTTCCTTATTTGAAACGCGCGCCATCTAGCGGCATTTATTCCGAGAAAGGTGGGGTGGCGCTCATTGAAAGGAGCGGTATCTGAAGTTTTATGTCATGCAAGTTTAGTACCAATCATGCAGTGGACGATAGAAAAGCACGCGTTCTCCGTGGAGTCGTACTTTTAAACGTACTGCATTTTCATCCATATAAATTGGAGTGGTGCAAAAACGTAATCCACGCGATTTTCTTTCACGAAAAAATGCATGCAAAGCCGTTCTTGACAATACGCCTCATGATGCCCTTGTGTTCTTTAGCGATGAGGCTCATTTTTCATCTTTCTGATTGCAGCATACATTAAGCAAAACATGCGATAATGGAGTGGTACGAATCCCCGTGAATTTCATGAGCAGCCCCTCCATACAGAACGTGTGACTGTTTGGTGTGCATCGTCCAGAATAGGCATCATTAGACCATGATTTTTTGGAGAACATTTCCCTGGACGCTTTATCACTTTACGCGGCGATTGTCAGTGGCCAGCGCGCTCGCCTGATTTAGCGCCGTGTGATTTCTTTTTATGGGGCTATCCGAAATCTCTACCGTCCAAAGACCCTGGCTCAACTGAAGAACAATATTCAAGTTGCTAATTGACAACATACCCGTTCATATGCTGGTAAAAGTGGAAAAAAACTTCAAAACTCGACTATCTCAATGCATTGACCAGAACGGAGACCGCCTTAAAGATATTATTTTTAAACCGTAATTAAAAAAAAAACTTTAAGTGTTTCTCTATAACTTGGAAAAAAATTAAGCTGATATCGCTTGTACTATCTGCGTTATTCACTTTTAAAATAAGGTAATTTCCTTGCCGCACTCTGTATTTATGTAAATGTGTCCTTTATGCATATTTAACTACTACTTCGTTCGACTTTTGTCTGTTTTCTTCATTTCCTGCTTATCTACCGCTATTTGTAAATTTAACTGTAGTTATTCTTGTGCTGGTCTAGAAGTAGGACTGCTAGATCACCTTTTCGCCCTAGTTATTTGCATTTTTTCTTTCGAGGACTACACTTTTTTTGGTTGCCCGAAAGAATGAATTCTTCCCCCCTTTTTGATTGATAAAAATAAAATTCACAAGTCTTGGCTGTTACATTTACTTAGAAGGATATCAGGAAATGAGGAAATTCAAATGATTCTGCAACTGTGCTGTACTCGAGCTTCAGTTTCAAGTAGACTAGATTTCATATCAGAGATTAACCCTTTAACATACATTGACGTCTGTGAGACATCATTCATTTCATGTGTCATTGTAGACGTTGACGTCTCTGAGACGTTAAAAAATTTCTTCGGCGAACGCCGCGCAGTATATTATTAGGTTATTTAATTGCTGCGGACGTGGCCTGATCCTGCTTTGTATGTTTCCCCCCCTCTCTTATTTGTATGTCAAGGTGTTAATATAACCTGCTAAAAGTGCTTATGTTAACAACATGGTCCGTACTGTTAGGTTTCGCATATTTAGTATAAGAATTTAATTTTGTGATTGAGCTAATGTTCTATGTTGGTAACTGATGCTGCTGCTAATTTATCATCAGCAATTTCAACCAATATAAGTAAGTCGATAAAATGGAGACGCAACATACTTTGCAGAAATTGATTATTCAAGTAAATGGTTTTAGTTAAGACGATCATGTACGCAGCATTGCAACTTCTCAATTAAATATATACTTACCAGTTATGAATTTGCAACAATATTAGCAACAGAAGGTGACTGCGAAATTATTACAGTAGCACAGTAATTACTACAGTTAATTTTACGTAGATGTGATTTATCTTTCATTTGTTTCTATTTCTCCCATTACCGAAGACACTATTGTAAAATCTTCAAATATATGAAAAATCAATGTTCAAATGTTGGGAAATTTTCGCTTATGGTAATAAATGATAAAACAGGGCAGAATACAGGGTGTTTCAGCAAATCGGTTACAAACCTTTAGGAAAGATAGAGCACACCTAGGCAGACGATGGGAAAACACATAGCAATGCATGATCGGAAACGCTTTTCTGGCGCGCTAGCGACGACACGAAACACAAGAAAGTTAGGATACGAAAAAGGTGAGAATATATGTTTATTATCCTTAGTGCATTGGAAACCAAGAAATAAGAGCATAAACGGACGATCGTCATCAAAGAAGGTTTTCGAAACTATCCTTAACGTCGAATCGGCAGGGGTGGTCCGATGCATTGGCCAGCAAAATCGTCAGACCTCACTTGCTTTGACTACATCCTCTGAAGGAGTTCGTCACGACATTAGTGTACGAAACCCCCGTTAGAATTGCTGAGGAATTTGTTGCACGTATCGTGACGGCTGCTGAAGAAGTCCGGGATATACCCGATATTTTCGAGAACATCAGATCTTCCATGTGCCGGATATGTGCCATTATTGTTCCGGGTCGTAATTTCGAACACCTTCTTCGATGACGACCGTTGTGTATTTTTGTTTTATTTCTTGATTTCTGCTGCACTAAGCATAATAAACATGTTTCATCACCCTGTTCATGTTCTTCCTTTCTTGTGTTTTGAGTTGTCGCTACTGCGCCAGGAAACCCTTTTCGACCATGCATTGCTAATTGATTTTCCATCGTCTAGGTATAGTCTTTCTCCTGAAAGTTTGTAATCGATTTGCTGAAACATCC